TTCCCAGCCTGCCCCAAAGCATGGTGGGCCCCCTGGCCAAACCTCCCTGCTTCACTTCCCGCCTGGTTGACCCCATGGTGGATCAGTTTGTCTGCTTCCTTCCCAACCTGTCCAGCAGCGTTGTGGACCCCATGAGCAAACTTCTCTGCTTCCTTTCCTGCTTGTCCAATGCCACCATTGATGTCATGCGCTACCTTGTCCAAGCCGTTGTTGAGCCCCTGGACGCCCTTGTCCAACTCCTTGCCGGCCTGGCTCCCCATGTTGCTGAGTCCATTAAAAACTTTCTCCACTTCCCTTCCGGCATGAGTGATTCCATTATTGATGCCTTCCAGGGCTTTGCCCACCTCTCTCTCTGCATTGCTCAGCCCCCGGTTGATCCCTTCAATGACCTTCTCAATGGGGTCATCGCTGGCTGCCCAGCCAGGCAGGGCCCCCAGCAGCAGGAGGAGGGAGCAAGAGCGGACCAAACCGGCAAGATGCATGTTGCTCGGACGGTGGGAGGATGCAGAGAGGAGCCGGGCAGGCAAGGCTGCTATTTATCCTCTCCTCCCTCTTCCCCACCCCTCGTGACTCAATTACCTCTGCGAGGCACTGACTTGGTCCTCAGTCAAGAGGTATTTCCCAGGGAGATTGGGAGTTGAGCAACGAAGAGGAGGAAGAGAGGGTGAGTCATGAACGGAGAGGAACTCTGGCATCTCTGTTCCTTGCCTGGCACAGGCCCTCCGCCCAGAGACGAGTGCCTGCCCTTCCAGCCACCTCCCCTTCATTCCTCACCCACCAGCCAGGCCTCCTGTCTCCCAAACCCACCTTCAGTCACCCTCTGTCCCTGAGACCCAGGGGATTCTTCCACCCCTCACTCCTCTCCAGGATCTAAGCATCTGGCTGCCACAGCAGTGAGGGTCTAGAAAGATGGAAGGCACAGCTGGGAGAGGGGAGAGCTCTGGAGGGTGGAGGGAGTCATCGGACCTTGTCCTTGTGGGCCACCCCCCTGCCCCTCACTCCATCCAGCCAGCCACACAGGCCTTCTCCCTGCTCCCCAAACACACCAAGCTCACTCCGGCCTCACGGCCTCCGCACTTGCTCTTCTCTCTGTCTGGAATGCAGAACACAAATGCCTCCTTCTCAAAGAGACCTCCCCTGGCCACCCAGCCACAACATGCTGTGACAGTTACACTCCGTAATGGCATCCTTTTGTTTTTATAGCGCTTACCATGATCCGAAATTACCTTTATTTTTTTATTGTCTGTCTCACTAGGTTGTAAACATTTAGAGGACAGGGCCTTTGTCTGTGTTGGTCACTGCTGTATCCCCAGCTCCTAGAACATTGCCTGTGGTTCAGTAGATGTTGATAGACCGAACAATTAGGTGGATTAGAAGAAGCCGAGGGGGGAGAGTCCAAGCCTGAGCCTGAGTCTCACAGGTGCTGGAGGGAAGGGTTCCTGGGTCCCAGAGCGGCATAGGATCCCTTGGGGAGTGTGTGTTGCAGGTTTTGGAGTCAGGATCACATTCCTGTCACAGCGCTCAGGCCTCCTGTCTCCTAGCCCTTGGGCGAGGGCAGGGGGCTGATTGCCATGAGCTGGAACAGGACGCAGTATCTCCTGAAAAGCCGGTTGAGGCAGCCCCGGGGAGGGGCTGAGGACCCGGGGCAGCAGGAGACCGAGCCAGGACCTGGGCTGCAGCCAGACGCTCAACTTCCTGCCCTCCTCCCCTAGGGCCTCCTGAGCCCTAACCTGGAGCCCCCAGCGTTGACATATCGGCTCAGGCTGGAGGAGGAACAGCAGAGAGTTTGGCCCAGGGTGTAAAGGGGGCTGCTGGAAGGAAAGGCAGGCGGTGGTGGGTAGGTCTGCAGCAGCCTATCTGCCTGGGAGCCAGAGGGTGGGTACAGATGGGGGCAGGGGTGAAAGATATTTGGGTTTTGGTGCCAAGGGGAGAGACCAAGAGAGGGGGTGGAGGTGGGATTGCTGGTGGGAAGCCCAGGCAGGAAGGAATGAAGAGGGTGTGAGCACGTGGGGGTGGGGAGTTATGCGTGTGGGTGCCCAGGTGTGGTGAGAATCTGCACGTGTTTTCAGGCTTTGCTCAAACAAGGGCGCCAAGGCCCACTCCCCTCAGAGGACCCAGGGTTCCACCCAGATCCTGGACACTTGGCCCCACCCAGAGCCAGGCATCCCAAGAGCTTCTCTAGGCTCTGCCTATAGAGGGTGACTAATTGCGCCACCTCTATAAGCTTGAGCTCATCAAATCTGTATCCCAGTTTCACGCTCCAGGGACAAAGCCAAATTCCTGGGCAACCTGCCCTTGTCCAGTGCCTGAGTGATGGAGTTTCCCATGGCAGGAGGTTGCTGGGTGGGGAAGGTGAGCTTCAGAATCCTAACGCACCCCAAGACTGAGAGGTGGGATTTCTTCTTTCGATACGTTTCTCCATCTTTTCCTTCCCATCCCTCTCTCTGTCCACCCTTCCATCTCCTGTCGGACTCAATCCCTCTCCTCAGTCTCTCAAATCCCATTTGAGACTATTTGAGGCCGGGCGCGGTGGCTCACGCCTGTAATCCTAGCTCTCTGGGAGGCCGAGGCGGGCGGATTGTTTGAGCTCAGGAGTTCGAGACCAGCCTGAGCAAGAGCGAGACCCTGTCTCTACTAAAATTAGAAAGAAATTAATTGGACAACTAAAAATATATAGAAAAAATTAGCCGGGCATGGTGGCGCATGCCTGTAGTCCCAGCAACTCGGGAGGCTGAGACAGGAGGATCGCTCGAGCCCAGGAGTTTGAGGTTGCTGTGAGCTAGGATGACGCCACGGCACTCTAGCCCAGGCAACAGAGTGAGACTCTGTCTCAAAAAAAAAAAAAGACTATTTGATTCAGGACTTTGGCATCTGTCTCCATAACTGGCCTGGAGTTGTCCTTTCTCAGGCTGTCCTCTGCTGCTGTTGGTAACATGGTCGTGCGGGTCTCCTAGAGTGAATGGAGGAAGTAGCTGAGCCATGACAGCTCTCCCCCAAAGCGCTCCAAAGAAGTATGCAGTGCAAGTCCACAGAGTGCTGGCCCGTCTGAAGGGAGAGGCTCAGAGCCAGGCCCCTAACTGGAGCCCTCTGCACGGGAGCCTCCACTGGGCTTCCCAGCCCTGCCTGGGATCTGCGACATCAGTGCAGAATGGCAGATACCTGTCCCCCAGAGCTTCGGCAGACCTTGCCCATAAAATTGTCTGGATCCGAATCAGCCTTTGGGAGGATATATCTTTTGTTTATTATTGGCCTAGTCAGATTCGCCATTTCTTCTTGCACCCGTTTTGATCCTTTATATTTGCTAAGAAAAATTTTAATTGCAAATCTGTTATTGTCAAGTTGCACAAAATCGGTCCCTTTTTAATCCTGGCTTTGTCGGTGCTGTGGTTTTTTGCCTCCTTGATTAGAGAGCAAAGTTTATCCCCCTTCGTTTAATTCATCATCTGTCTTTTGGTCTTGGTTCAGTGAAATCCCCTCCTCTGCACACTCCATTTGTTCTCAGGTCCACCTCTCCCAGGCCAGCCACACGGGAGAGCCTCGCCCTCCCTTTGGTTCCATGGCAGGTGCTTGGCAAACTAAGTTCCCATGGAAGTTTGGGGAAGGAAGCGGTTATGTCATTCCGTCCCTTCTGGCATCCACCTCTCTCTCCGGGATGGTGACTCCTTCCTGGCACAAACCCTTATGCCACCTAAATCTTGGTCACCGCTGCGTGGCAACCAGCTGTGCGGGTGAAGGTGTCTGCCCGTGAATCACAGATGGGCAAGCTCCCTGCCCCCCCGGTGCTTTAGGAGGGGGCCATCTGTCCACTTGTTCTTCCTCAGATGTTTGCTGAAAGCCTGCTGTGTGCCAGGCACTGTTCTAGGTGCTGGAGGCACAGCGGTGAACAGACGAGAACATATGCCCTGCAGGGGGGCTTAGAGCCCAAGTGGGAGACACGGGCAAGTAAACCCACAGCTAGATCATGACGAACTTAGTGAAAAGCTACAAGGACAAGAACAGGTGATGTCAGAGGATATGAGTTAGAGGGTGCTGAAAGACTGGGGATCAGATGACCCAAGGAGGTGACATTTATTTATTCATTCAGATGTTATTTATTGAGCAAGCACCTTCTAAGTGCCAAACATTCTTCTAGCCAATAGGATATAGAAGTGACAAAGATAGACGAGGTCCCTGCCCTCCAGAGCTTACAGTCTAGTAGTAGGCAGAGACAATTTGCCAGAAAATAAATAAGATGATTTTTAGGGAAACATTCTACAAGGAGGGTAAAAATATAGCAAGTGTAGCGCCAGTGGAGTTTTGCACAGCGGAACATACAGCCCAGGTGGGGAGTCGGCCTAGGCTGAGGGGCAGCGATTGAGGGGGCGGGGAGGGTGGCAGATAATGACTGAGAGTGGAGGAAACTTTAGACGGGGAGTCCAGGAGGGCCTCTTTTAGAGGATGGCATGCGAGGGAAGCCAGGGGAAGCCGCGGGAGGGGCTTTGCAGGCGTAAGGAACCAGTGACTGCAGACGACACGTCAGGGAACAGTGTGCGGAGGGAGACAGAGGGAGAGAGAAAATGACTTTAAGAGCCAGTGTTGAAAGCCTGTAATCCCAGCACTCTGGGAGGCCGAGGCGGGAGGATCGCTTGAGGCCAGGAGTTCGAGGCCAGCCTGGGCAAGAGGCAGACCCCGTCTCTACTAAAAATAAAAAAAAATTAGCCGAGCGCAGCGGCGCATGCCTGCAGCCCCAGCTGCTCGGGAGGCCGAGGCAGGAGGCTCGCGCCCAGGAGTTTCGCGCTGCAGTGAGCCGCGATGACGCCGCTGCACTCTAGCTGGGCGACAGAGCGGGACTGCCTCCAAAAAACAAAGTTGGATTCCATTCCAGACGCCAGCGGGTGGCCTTGGAACGGGTGGCGCACAGAGCGCAGACGTCACTCGTCTCGACGGGAGGCCAGGCGGCGGAGGCCCCCAGGTCTCCAGCCTGCGCGCCGCCTCCCCTGTGACGTCACTGGGTACTGTGACGTCACTGCAGGAAGCTCCGGACCCACTAGCCCCGGAGGTCCCGCATTACGGCAGGTCCCGGGACGGCTGAGCAGTGATACCTTAGGTGACCATGTCGAAACGCGACATCGTCCTCACCAATGTCACCGTTGTCCAGCTACTGCGACAGCCATGCCCGGGTGAGGGAGATGGCAGGCGACCTCGGGGAGGGGAAGAAAGCGTGGTCCGGGAGCGCCTCCACCCCCACAGGGGGCGCTGTGACTCCGAGCCCTCCTTCCGCGAGCGTGGGCCCGTCTAGGGCGCGGGGGGGGAGACGGGAGGCGCAGGGGTGGGGCCGCTCCTCACCTGCCCTGTCCCTTCATCCGGGAGCCACGTGCCGCCCTCCCTCCAGCCCAGCCCTCATCCCCACCCCTTACCCACCCGGGTTTGCTGGCAGGTGGTTTCTGCGGCCATGGTGGAGGAGCTGGGACTCTGCCCCCAGGGTGGAAAGTGTGGAGATACCGAGGCTGGAGCCCGGGCGGGGCAGAAGAGGGTTTATGAGGGGCATCTGTGAGGACAGCCCAGGCAGGCAGTGCTGCCACATAAAATTCGTGTTCCCGGTGACCCGTGGGGAAAGGGGCCGCTTGGGGTGTTGGTGGGCTTTGTCCTGTCTGTAGTGCAAAAGCAGGAACGCCTGAGACCTGCCAGGGTCCTGCGAATCATTTTATGGGGGTGGGCTCACTGAAGCCTCACCTGGTGAGGCCAGTGTGTTCACTGTCCCTTTTTACAGAGCTGTTGGGGACGGCAAACCGCTTTCGCCTGTCAACAAACAGCTGGTATAGCTGAGATTCTGCTCATGGCAGCAGGACTCCAGACCCCTTGCTCGCAGCCACTGGGCCGTCCTGCCTCACCCAGCCAGAGGGGGTGTGTGACCCCCACCACACACACACACACTAAACAAAGTCAGGTCTCCCGGGAAGGCAGCCCCCATCGGCACGCTGTTTCCTCACTTCCTCCTCAGGGGTCCGGCCACTGGAGGGCAGGTGGGGCTGGGGTGGGGCGCCGCTTAGGCAGGGCTTCTGGCCCGGAGACCCTGGAAGACACAGCCACAGACAGATGTAACAGTCACGGGACTCAAACCCTTCCCTGTCATCATTGCTCTGTGACCTCAGGCTTCATTTTCTCCTCTGGAAAGTGGGTTTATAGCACACGCCTCACAGGATTCAGAGAGCCGATGTGTGCAAAGAGCTCAGAACAGCACCTAGCTGGACAGGCAGCTGCTCCCTAGCCGGCACCCCACTCCCAGAGCGCAGGGGAGAGGACCGTGGAAAGCTGGGGGAAGCTGGGAAAGGAGGGCCAGCTGAATTTCTTCTGGAAGGTCACTGAGTGGGCTCAGATGCCCACTCTTAACCCAGATGGACAAATCTACCCCTTTCATACCAAAAAGAGAACCCCCAAGAATGCAAACATCCTCAAGGTCGCCAACAACCACAGGGTCACTGCCACCCGGAAACACTGACTGATACTACTTTCTGAACTGGTTCTGCTGTTGGAAACACCCACAGTCCAGCCTCAGGCCACAAGGGAGAGAGGAGGGAAATGGGGCCCCAACTGCTAGGGGTGCCCTGCTCCTAGCCCCACCTCCTCCCAGGCGCCTAAGGCAACTCCCACCATCCCCCTCCAGCCCCTCCCCAACCCCTGCTCTCTCCCTGTCCTCATGGATAGTCTTAGGATCAGACTTTCCCTCCTCCTCTGTTAAAATCAGCTCCCACTTGTGGGCCTTGAGATCCCCAGGAGCCCTCATAGCAGCCCTGGGTGGAGGATCAGCTATGACACCTCGGAAATGAGACAGAGGGGGTCGTTAACTTGCCCAAGACCACACAGCAGCAGGTGATGGAGTCAGGGCTGGCATCCAGGCCTGACTTCCCAGCTTGCAACCCTCTGCCACCCAGGACCCCTAAGCCTCCACTTCTCCCCTCCTCTCCTCAAGCCTTCATCTGTGGCTCAGGTAGGAGCACAGCTCTAAGCACAGGCGGTTTTAAGCGCAGTACAAGAGTGGGAGTGTGTGCACGGACAAGCCGAAGCTGACAGGAGTTTCCATTTGTTTCGTACAGTATGATACGGTGTTCCCTAAACTCCCCTGAGGATAAGAAATACCTGGAGTGCTTGTTAAAAACAGGATTCCTGGCCGGGCACGGTGGCTCACGCCTGTAATCCTAGCACTCTGGGAGGCCGAGGCGGGCAGATTGTTTGAGCTCAGGAGTTCGAGACCAGCCTGAGCAAGAGCGAGACCCTGTCTCTACTAAAAATAGAAAGAAATGATCTGGATAACTAAAAATATACAGAGAAAATTAGCCGGGCATGGTGGCGCATGCCTGTGGTCCCAGCTACTCGGGAGGCTGAGGCAGGAGGATCGCTTGAGCCCAGGAGTTTGAGGTTGCTGTGAGCCAGGCTGACGCCACAGCACTCACTCTAGCCCGGGCAACACAGTGAGACTCTGTCTCAAAAAAAAAAAAAAAAACAGGATTCCTGGGGCCTCAGTACAACCTAGAGAGTTAGATTTTTCTGGAAAGAGGCCTCCTCCGGTGATTCTTACCATCAGAACAGTTTGCGTACCACTGGAATAGGTCAATTATCAGACAAATTTGGGAAACTATCTTAAAAATACTAATGTGTGGAATGTTTCCTAGGCCCCACGTATATTACCTTATTCAATCTTCACAATGACCATCTAAGAGAAGTACTATTATTACCTCCGTTTTACAGAAGAGGAAACTGAGGCACAGAGAATCTCACCCCGAGCAATTGTTAAAAATATATGCCCACCCACTGGGACTCTCCAGGGAAGGGGTCCTGGCACTGGTGTTTTAAAACAAGTCCACCCCTCGCTCATTCTGCGAAGCACCGGGCTGGACAGTCAGGGCCCAGGGGCCGGGAGCCAGCAACAGGTTCGAGATGGCAAAGATGGTTCATTCTCTCACTGCCGTGGTGGTGCAGCTCATCCCACACCCCTGCTTCTCCCTCCCCCGGCCCACAGTGACCAGAGCACCGCCCCCACCTGAGCCCAAGGTGGAGGCAGAGCCGCGGCCCCAACCCCAGCCTGAGCCAGTCAGGGAGGAAGTAAAGCCAGCTCCGCAGCCGTCTCTTCCCCCTCCTCCTCCGAACCTTCCTCCACCCCGGGAGTTGACCGTTGGCATCAATGGGTGAGTCTACTCTGGCCCCTGAGCAGTTCCTGGAGCCTCAGAGCCCAGCCCCCTCCGCTGGTTGCTAACTGGGGATGTCCACGGCTCTGCGGGCCCTGGAGAAACAGCAGGGCATTAGGCTGACGGGGTCCCGCCCTCAGGGCTCACGTTCAATAATCAAAGAAACAAGATGGCTCGGTGGTGTGTGTCGTGAGCAGTACAGACCTCGGTGGTACCGTAAGGCTGGAGAGGGCAGCATTAGCGGAGGTAATCAAGGAAGGCCTCTGGGAGAAGGTGACATCGGAGTGAGGCCTGAGAGATGAAAGGCGCCAGCTGTGCCCCTTGCTGGCGAAAGAGCCTGCCAGGCCGAAGAACAAGTAAGGGCTCTGGGTGCAGGAGGCAAGCTCCGCATGTTGAAGGCCGGCAGGAAGTCGGTGTGGCTGGTGTAGAGCAAGCTGGGGGAGGAGAGAGGGACCTGGCAGGGGCCTGGGACACCATGGTAAGGAGTTTAGATCTTGTTTTGCTGAGGGACAAACGTGGAGATTTTCATGCCAAGAGACATAATCTGACTTGAAGTTTTAAAAGATCCATCCAGCTACAAGGTTAAGAATAGGGCAAAACACATAAACAAACAAAAAAAGAATAGGGGTCAGGGGACAGTTGGAGAGAGGAAGCAGAAGAAGCAGTGGAGAGGCTGGCGAGGTCATCTGGGCAGGAGGGGATAGTGGCCTGCACAGAGGTGGCTGCCTTCTTCCCCCAGACAGAGGATTCCCGCCCGGTCCCCTTGCGTGGGCCTCCTCTCCATTACCCCTTCTCTCCCATCCTCTCCTCCGCCTGGTCCCGGCCAGATTTGGACGCATTGGTCGCCTGGTGTTGCGCGCCTGCGTGGAGAAGGGCGTTAAGGTGGTGGCAGTGAATGACCCGTTCATTGACCCGGAATACATGGTGAGCAGCCTGCAGAGAGCCGGAACAGGAAGGGTGGGACTAGGCGGGGAGGGGGTCTGGGCAGCTCTGTGGATGGCTCCAGCTGCAATGTGGAACCTTCTTCACCAAGGTGGGGACGCTCTAGGGATGCTCGCTCTGCCGCCCCGAGACTAGCAGCCGTTCTGTCTTCTGCAGGTGTACATGTTTAAGTACGACTCCACCCACGGCCGGTACAAGGGGAGCGTGGAATGCCGGAATGGGCGGCTGGTCGTGGACAACCAAGAGATCTCTGTCTTCCAGTGGTAAGGGCAGCATCTGTCTGGTGTACGCCTTGACTAAAATGGGATTCCAGCTTCTCACGTGGGGTTCAGAAGCCCCCACATTGTGTGTGCATGCCTCTGGGTACTAGTTTGGAGAGGGGGTCCCAGAGAGGTCCTTGAACCCTAAAATGGTTAAGAAGCCCTTATCTAGAAAGATGTCCCCAGTACTCAAGAGCGTTTTTTCTTTAAAACACACGTGCGTGTTCCTCCGAGGCGTATCGACTCAACATGTCTGCAACTCAATGCTTGACTCCCCTTCCAGCCCCAAACCTGCCCATCTTCCATCCCGGAAAATGACTGCGACATCTAGCCGAGCCCTTCCAGGCGGGCCCCACAAAGCAGCCAGGTTACTCCCCTGCGAAATCCCCCAGTGGCTTCCCATGACCCCAAGGATAAAATTCAGCTCCTGACGGGCCCCCCAAACACTATGCACCCACCCGAAGCCTCTCCACGTCACCTCAGCCGCACTGGCCACCCACCTCTTGGGACCCAAGCCAGCGCCTCTCACAGCTGGGCAATGTCATTTCGCACTGAGACTACCCAGTTCATGCTGGTATTGATACTGATCTTTCGTTTAAAGATAGGTTCTGATTCTGTAAGTCAAAAGCAGTAACTCTAGACGTGTAATATGCTTCAAATACGAACATTTGCAAGATACCAAAAGCAATTAAAAATGTATAAAGAGGGAAACAGTAAACTTACCTTACCTTTCTAATGTGAACTCTTAGCCACTGCTGGCCTGTGGCCGCGAGGCTCTTACACTCATGCACGTGCAGGCGGCAGGCACGCCGGGGAGACTTCTCCAACCCCAGGCAAGCTGCGGCCTTCCAAGCGCCCCTCCGAGCAGTTCCACTCTCAGCCCTTCCCTTTGTACTTGCGGGCGGTGGGTGGGTGGTAAAGGGCCAGGGAGGGCTTGTGGGGAGCTGGGCGGGGATGGGTGCAGGCAGTCGGGGGTGGGGAGAGGTAGGGACTGCAGAATCAGTGAAAATGGAAGCTGCTTGACCCAAGTTTGAAATCAAGACAACAAAAACAATCTCGGTAGAGAGTTCATCATGCAGACATGGTGTCCTCTCCCAGCTCAGCCCGGGTACCATCATTCTTGCCAACTCAGGGCATTCCCCCTCCCCACGCCCACACAGCCACTCCCTCCACCCACACCCCCACGCTGCCTTCTCTGGTCACTTGTACGACACAACAGTCCTCCTCCCCCTGCGCTGTTGGTGTTGCCCGGGCACTCGGCACAAGCCATGTTGTGTGTACTCTACCCTGCTCCACCCCGTCCTAGTTGGGTGACCTTGGGCAAGGGACCAAACTTGCCTGAGCCTCAGTTCCTCCCTGTGTCTGATGGGACCACACCCACCACGGTGGTAGCTGGGAACCCAACTGGAGTTAACAAGTGTTCATGGAACAACTGGAAGGGCATTTTCCCACAGGGCCACAGCCTTGCAGGGAGGGCCCCATGGTTTGTGCTCACCACGGTTGCTTGGCACGAGCAGGTACAGACCCTGGCTCTTGGTAGACATTCAGTACTTCCTCGAAGAGTGAATGAATGAAATGGAATCCTCAAAACAGCCCTCTGGGCAGAAGGGTGGGGCCCATGACAGCCTGGGGGAGGGGCTGGGGTCTTCTGGGGCAGACTGTTTGCCTCATGCCAGCTTAGCAATTGCTGCAGAGGAATTTGCTCAAGTGTCCCCAGCTTGGAAGGCAGGAAACGGGGGGCATCAGAGAAGAGCTAGTTGGGCCAGATGATGAAAGTGTGGACTGACAGAGCAGAAGACCAGGAAGAGAGAATACCCATGTGCTACGGGCTAGGGAGAAGAGGGGAAGCCTGCTCGTTCATTCATTCATTCAGGCAGTGTAGCTAGGAACGCAGACCCGAGGGCCACCAGCCCGCACTCCAGCCAGCTCTGCCTCTTACTCCCTTCACCTCTGCCCTGATGCTGGCTCCTCCGAAAAATGGCAATAGTAGTACTTACTCCTTGGGTTGTGAAAGTTAATGAGTTTAACACAGGTAAAGCACTTAGAACACGGGCCCATGGCAGGTGTCCAGTAAACATGTGTAGAATGGCTAATCAAAAAAAAAAAACAAACCCACACATTGATCAAACCCCCATGGAGGGAACAGGCTCAATGGCAAAGGAGACAGACAGACACTAACAAATAACCACAGAAGCAAAGCACCCAGTTATTTGTATGCAATTTATTCATCTAACGCTTGTTTGCTAAAGCCAAGTAGAAAACAGCAATACTACATGCTTAATGTTCCAGGTACAAACGTTTGTCAAAACATCAAGTAAAAACGTAAACTTTTTCTAATGTAAGCCACCAGCCACTGCTGGCCCCAAGGCAGCCTCAGACTCCAGTTCTCCCCCAAGAGCTGCTCTCTGGCCCCCGTCGTAGTAAAGACATGAGGGGAGGGTTCATGGAGAGGTGGCCGGGGCTGGGGACCAGAACGCAGCTGGGCAGGCCTCACTGTCACAGGGCCCACATTCTGGGCAGCTCATGGGAAAAGGGTCTGGCCTGGCTGGGAGTAGTCAGGGAAGGCCCCCCCAAGAGAATCGAGGCCTGAGCTGGGGAGGAGGCCGCCTCTACCCAGCCATAACAGGAGCGGTGCAGTCAAGAAAGGAAAGGTGGCCCGACAGGGGGCAGTGAGGAAAAGCAAGTCCGGCAGGGTTGAAGCCACCTAGGGAGGCTGGGCGTGTGTGGGGCGGGGGCACAGGTGGGCTTGGGCGGGCTGGTACCTGCAGGAATGCATCGGGTCAGGCTTTTCGATGGCGAAGGCTGTGGACTAGGCTGGCAAAGCCTGCACGGGGGAGACTGACTCAGCCCTGCCACCCCTCTGCAGCAAGGCGCCCAAAGAAATCCCCTGGAAGACTGTTGGGAGCCCCTATGTGGTAGAGTGCACAGGCGTGTACCTCTCCCTAGACGCAACTTTGGTAAGCGGGGCGCCCCAGGGCTGGCTGGGGGGCTGTGGTGCTCGAAGCACCTGACACTCACGCTTCCTCCCTAGGACCACATCTTAGCAGGCGCCCAGCGTGTGGTCATCTCCGCGCCCTCACCAGATGCACCCATGTTTGTCATGGGTGTGAATGAAAACGCCTACGACCCTGGCTCCATGAACATTGTCAGGTAACAGGGCAGCAACATCCTTAAGAACGTGAGCGGTGCCTGGAGGGCACGCCAGCCTGTGGAGGGGAGGGTGCAGACTCGCCCTCCCCACTCCCACCCCTACCAGGGCCCTGCGTCTCCTTCCCAAAGTCCCCGCACCTATCAGGTCAATGCTACCTTGAAACTGTTAGAAATGCACGACTTCTGGAGAACACGCTTGGGGAGCTTCCCCCAGCTGTCCCTGGGGTGCCTCCTTCAGTCTGAGGCAGCCCCGCTGATCCCTCTCACCCCCTTCCCAACTATTCACAAAATCCGGCCTGTGTGCAGACTCTAGAAGGGGTAAGGGTGGGGCGTAGCTCTACAGCTCGCCTCACAGTGCCCGGGCTGTTTCAGCAACGCATCCTGCACCACCAACTGCCTGGCCCCGCTCGCCAAAGTCATCCATGAGCGTTTTGGGATCGTGGAAGGGCTGATGGTGAGTTGGGAACGAGGGGCTGGGGCAGGAAGGATGGCAGGGAAACCCAACCTCTTCTTCCCAGGCCTTGCTTAGTGCATGGAGTTAACAGGAACAGACTGGTTTTGGGAGGAGAGGCCCACCAGTGGCGAAGTCTGTTAAAACACTGTACAGCCCTCAGGCAAGGCTGGACCATGGCCTGCATGAGCCCCTCCTGTGGTCTGTGGTTGGTGGCCCCAGCAGCCTCCACCCCTAGGCCACCATCCCAGCCTTGGGGAAAAGAGGGATGGGAGCGTGGGCCTTATCTTGGCCTTCTTCGTCCCCAAGACCACAGTCCATTCCTACACGGCCACCCAGAAGACAGTGGATGGGCCATCAAAGAAGGCCTGGCGAGATGGACGGGGTGCCCACCAGAACATCATCCCAGCCTCCACCGGGGCTGCCAAAGCTGTGGGCAAAGTCATCCCAGATCTCAAAGGGTATGAGGAAGGAAGCTGCAATGGTGGTAGGGGGGGCACACCCCAGCAGGACTGGACTGGCCCTAAATCCTTAAGGGGAAAGCAGGGGCCTTGGCCAACCCTCAAGGTAAGGGGGAATGGAGGCAGACATTCCTAAGTTCTGACTCCCATCCCTGACATGGGATTCTCCAGGAAGCTGACAGGAATGGCCTTCCGGGTACCAACCCCAGACGTGTCTGTCGTGGACCTGACCTGCCGCTTGGCCAAGCCTACCCCCTACTCGGCCATCAAGGAGGCTATAAAAGCAGCAGCCAAGGGGCCCATGGCTGGCATCCTTGCCTACACCGAGGATGAGGTAGGGGCTGAGGAGAGGAGACCCTGGGAGGAGCCCTCTGGGGAGGGCATGTGATTTCCACTTGCCTGAGAGCTGCCCTCCATGTGCCAAGATACAAACTGCAGAGCTGGGAAGGTAGATCTCCCTGCCTCAGGGCCTTTACACTTGCTGTTCCTTTGGTCTGGAAAACCTACCACCCAGGTGGCCACACGGTCTGCTCTCACTTCAAGTCTCTATTTCAACGTTCCTCCTCGGCAAGGTACCCCCTCAAAAAGATGTTTTTTGTGGCCCTATTCAACTGAAACTTCATTTCATAGTCATTGTTGACCCCAATAGCATGTGCATGCCAAGAAAGAGATTTAGGGGGTATCTCTTCATTTCCTTCCAGCCTGGCACACAACAAGTGCTCTTAACATGCTCAGAGAACAAAAGAGAACAGCTCCTACTTTTTAGCATTTGCTTGCGGCCAGGCCATGGCCAGTGCCTTCCATGTGAGGAGTTGATGTCACCGTCAGAAGTGCCATCTCTGTATGTCGTCCACCTTGGTGCTGTCTCCCTGCTTTAGCTCACGCAGGTCCACTCCCACACAGCCTCCGGGACCTCTTGCTTTAACGGAACCAGATGGTATCACTCCATTGCTGAAAACTCCCCTGTGGCCCTTAGTGTGAACCCACACTAGGGCTAAAACCCTCAGGACCTCTGGCCTGCAGCTCTTTCCACCTCAGACAATGCATTGATTGAGGGCTCCAGTTGGCCAGATCCTCCTAGTCAGCCAGACCCAGGCTCATGGCCACCGCTCAGAGAGGGCCTCCATTCTGGCCCATTCCAAGTGCATGCATTATTCCTAGGAAGTAATACATTGGTACAGCATTAGGATGTTTGGGGTCTGTGTCCTTTGGCCAGTCCCCCACAGGCAGAACCCCCACCTGCCTAGGTCACACCCTGTCTCCAGAGCTGGGACACAGGAGGGAAACAGCAAATACTGTAGATAAATGGATGGACAGCGTGCCTAAGCGTCCGAGCCTGACCTCCTGGAGGTTTCTGCTCTGCCACCCACACTTACCTTTTAAATCTGTCGCTCAGGTCGTCTCCACGGACTTCCTCAGCGATACCCACTCCTCCATCTTCGATGCTAACGCCAGCATCGCACTTAACGACAACTTCGTGAAGCTCATTTCCTGGTAAGGGGGAAGTGATCAGAGAATTGTGGGGGGAAACTAAGAGGTGGTCTGGAGGGACCCCCTTGAACCTCCCTTCCCTCCCCTCACAGGTACGATAACGAATATGGCTACAGTCACCGGGTGGTCGACCTCATCCGCTATATGTTCAGCCGGGACAAGTGAAAAGAGGGAGGGCCCCTCCTTTGCTTCCCTGTGCTCCCTGACCGGGACCTGTCCCTCCTGTACCCGTGCTCGGCCGCCCGGCCTGAGGGCTCTGCACCGCTGGGTCAATGATGAAATAAAAACGAGTGCTCACGGTTGCGCCCCGTGCCTCTGCGCCGATCACTGCGGGTTCAGATCCGGGTTTAGGGCCGCCACACGCTTACTCGACCGGCCTGCGCCCACGGGCAAGGGGTCACGCTCGGCTCGGAGCCCGGTTTCACTTCAGGGAAACGGGGATAGCAATGGTCGTGGAAGCCTGGCGTGGCCGGAAGTCGGTATCCAGAGCACCCGGCGCGAGAGCTCAGGGAACCAGGGCCGTAGCACCGGCGCTCTGACGTCATCAGGCGCGACGCCCCAGGCCAGGACTACCTTTCCCAGAAGGCCGTGCGCGGGCCGCGGCCAGTCAGGTGGGCGCCAGGCCCCGGCCCCGGCGAGAGCGCCGGCGGAGGCAGCGACCCGCGCCCGGACACGCCTCCTCGCGACCCCCGCGCCGGCGGGCCCGGGCGGCTGGCATTATGACCCTGTTCCACTTCGGGAACTGCTTCGCCCTCGCCTACTTCCCCTACTTCATCACGTACAAGTGCAGCGGCCTGTGAGTGCGGGGCGGGGGCGGGCGCGGGGCGGAGAGGGCACGGGACCCGGGCCGACCCCTCACCGCCCGCTTCCCCAGGTCCGAGTACAACGCCTTCTGGAAATGCGTCCAGGCTGGAGTCACCTACCTCTTTGTGCAGCTATGCAAGGTGAGGGCCGCCCGGACGCCACGTGTCTGGCCTCCAGGCTCTCCAGACCCAGGGGCCCGCCCTCGCGGCATGTCCCCACGGTGGGACCGCCCCCGGGACTCCGCATAGGGACGGCTCCAGAATACCTACAGAGGATGGACTATAGAAGGGGTGGAACCTGAGAAAAGGCCTAGAAGCAACTTTTGCGTAGCACTTAGTAAGCTTGGGAAAACCTCGGTTGTGTGGTTGGCTAACAGGTTTCTTGGTATGATAAGAGTGATAAGCAACCCCCATGGTGTCACACAGTGCTGCTAACACTGCCCGAGTAGCCACCTCTGCACCTCCAGACCGACTCAGATTCCTTGTGATCACCACAGAACTCAAATGTCCTCAGGGACCAGGTCACCTACCCTTGTGTATCCTCCAGTCCTACAATCTTGCCGCCATCTGATGCTCCCTCTCCCAGATGGGCCGCCAGAACCTCGGTGTCCTGCCCTCCACGTACACACTGACTTCCCACAAAACCCACGTGGATTATCCCCTCTCCTTGAGGTGACCTCTTTCTGTTTTCTGTTCTCAGATGCTGTTCTTGGCCACTTTCTTTCCCACCTGGGAAGGTGGCATATATGACTTCATTGGGGTGAGTGGGGCAAGGGCGGCGAAGGGAGTGCAGGAGCAGGGCCCCCTGGCCTCTGTGCTCACTGAGGCCTCAACCTGACCCACAGGAGTTCATGAAGGCCAGCGTGGATGTGGCAGACCTGATAGGCCTGAACCTTGTCATGTCCCGGAATGCCGGCAAGGGGGAGTACAAGATCATGGTTGCCGCCCTAGGCTGGGCCACCGCCGAGCTCATTATGTCCCGGTGTGTGCAGCAGCCTGGAGCCCAGACTCCTGAGAGAGGACACGTGGGTTCCACGGGGTGCTGGAGGGTGGGGGCTCAGAGTCTGGGTACTAAGGGTGTCTGGGTAGTGGAGAACCCCTCCCGTTGCCTTCCTCAGCTGCATTCCCCTCTGGGTCGGAGCCCGGGGCATTGAGTTTGACTGGAAGTACATCCAGATGAGCATTGACTCCAACATCAGTCTGGTACGCAGTTCTTCTCTGCCCCCTACATACGTTTTTGCTGATGGCTACTCCTCTCCAAGGCCCGGCCCCGACTTTCTGCCTCCCTCTAGGTCCATTACATTGTTGCGTCTGCCCAGGTCTGGATGATAACGCGCTACGACTTGTACCACACCTTCCGGCCGGCCGTCCTCCTGCTGATGTTCCTTAGTGTCTACAAGACCTTTGTCATGGAGTGAGCTGGGTGGGGTTTGAGGCTGGGTCCAAATGGGGAGGGGGGTTGTCTCTTCTCCTTCTCTCATCGTGATGTTTCCCCACAGGACCTTCGTCCACCTCTGCTCCCTGGGCAGCTGGACAGCACTGCTGGCCCGAGCAGTGGTGACGGGGCTGCTGGCCCTCAGCACCTTGGCCCTGTATGTCGCCGTTGTCAATGTGCACACCTAGGCTTAGTGTCCCAGACATACCTGTTCCCTGCCTCTCTCCAGGTTTTAGTGAAGTAAACAGTATTTGGAAAGTTGTTTCTACCTCCATTTCTCTTTCTCTTGGGAACTGTCTCTCAATACCATGTCCATCTGGGTCCCAGATGCCCTCATTCTGGCTTTGGAACCAGGCGGACAAGCTGGGAAGCTAGCCAATACACCAACGTGTCTTGTGTTTCTGGAGCAGTTCCTCAGGCTCCTTGTTTTCCCAGAGTAGACTGCAAGTTTGAAGTAAATGACCTTCGAGCGGTGGCAGAGGCCAGGGCCCTCGGGGAACAAGTGGTAAGGGAAGCTGGAATCCAAGAGAGGGCTCTTGGGGCTCCTCCTCTCCTCACAGCCTCAGCCTAGCCCTCTCCTGCATTCCCTGGCTGGTTACCTCCTGGCCCCAATCTCCTCTCTCTGATCCATCCTCTCTGGCAGCCAGGGGGCTGTATCCTAAACCCATCCTATTCCATCATCCTCCCCTGCTCATAGTCACTTGTGCCTCCTCATCGCACCGTGGACAGTCTGACCGCTTGACTTTTAGTTTTGCCCTTGACCTCTTTGGAGCTGCTCCTTGGAGTTACCTGCCCAGCCAAATTCTTAACATCCTTCCAGCCACAGGGCCAGTACGGGGAGTCAGGGCTGGGGGGCAGACTTGTGATTCTGAGCTCCTTAGTGCTTGGGCTCAGTTCTGTGGCCCTCAGGTCAAATCGTGGGTGTCTTCTCAGGGTGGAACACAGAGACAGCTACAGCCAGACAGAGCACTGAGCTCGCCGTTGTCCTGGATGTTGTCCTGGACGCCATCCCTCATCAGCCCTTTCTTGCTCCAGTACTGGCAGCTCCCTGCCTCTCCCTGAGGGGGATGTGTGAGAAGCAGGGCTTTGAAAGTCATGTCTAAGCTCCACCTTGATGCAAATCCTGCCCACTCAGGAAGGTGCTCCCTGGCCCTGGGGTTCCCAAGTGAGATGGGACAATTGCCCCCTCCCTACTCCACCAGGCTGTTGAGATCTTGCATGATGTTATTTAGCCTTGGGCCTAGGAAAGCACGAAGGACAGCTCTGTTCAGCTGTGCTATGACAGTCTTGATGTTTTCAGAGGGAACATTTATCCTCAGACTGAGGAGCCAACATCTAGCCCCACCCTTCTTCATTGCCCTAAGTAAACACAGGGTCCGCAGGTCTCTTGGGGGTTGAGAGTGATTGGTTGCCTTGACTTTGACGTCGAAAGGAAGATGGGGTGCTCTCCCAGCCCATCTGGGTAGATACGTAATGGGGTCATTTTCTCCCACACATCCATCCCCTGCCCTGCCTGTCCCTTTACACGTATTGGGACAAGTGAAGGTTGCAGAAATGACCAACTGTCTGAAATGCTCCCAATTACATGGGGCTCAGGGAGAGACTCGAGTTAGAGTTGAGATGGGAGGAGCACAGGCCAGAGTGATCAGGGCTGTGACGGTGTAGCCTGGGCCGTGGTAGGGGTGTGACGAGCCAGGCTGCGGCCATCAGGGTCATGATGGGGAAACACGGGTTCTGGGGACCCAGAGTAGTTCCTGACCTGGCCTGGAGGCAGTGTGGGCTGTCCCGTGGCAGGGCTGTGTGAACTGAGGCCTGAAGAATAAGGCAGAGAAAAGGAAGGATCAAGGCAGGCGCAGGGTCTTGCAGTCAGAGAGAGGGCCTGGCTTCTCCGGGGAACAGAAGAACTGGTTGGAACGAGTTCAAGGCTTGTGAGGCTGCAGAAGTTGGCAGGGGTCCACATCTCAGAAGGCTCTGAAGGCTGGCTGGGGGGTAGCCAGGGGGCGAGAGGAACCTGGAGAGTTCTAGGCAGTGGAAGGACAAGGCCAGATTTGCCTTCAGGAAGCTCTCCATGCATTGTGTTGGGGGGGAGAGCAAGGCCAGGGCTGGACCAGAGCGGGGCTGGCAGGGTTAGGAGCAGAGTGGCTAAAAGCCAAGTAGAGAGATGTTGGGGACCAGTGGGCTGTGTCTTTTTTTATCGATGGGGGCACCGTAGGGAGATGACAGGTAAGGAAGGAGCAAAGAAGTCCAGGATAATACAAATTTGGGGCCCACAGTGTGTCCTAGGGAGAAGGAAGCACACTGATGGGGCAGTGGGGGGAACAGGTTTGGGGGATGATGCAGAAGCCAGTATGAGTCACCTGTGACACACCGGCGGAGGCTGGAGACGTGTGGGTGTCACTGCAGAGAAAACTGAGGCCATGGGCGTAGGTAGGGGGCTGTGGTGAAGAGGAAGGAGAAGGAGAAGCCGAGGCCACAGCCAGAGAAACTCAAGGAAGGGGAAGAAATCCACTGTGGGACCTCTGATGCCAAAAAGAAAAGAGAAAGGGAAAGAGAAGCAGGCAAAGGGCACTGGGCAGAGGAAGGGCCAGAGGTTGGGGGGTGTTTCTAGCAGTTGGAGGGGTTAACTTCAGGTGGGAGGTATGAGTAGGGGACCTCCAGGAGTTGGCCAGGGACTGACCATTGCAGGGACAAAGGACTGAGCAAGTAGAATCAGCGGAGATACCTATGAAGGTCGGGGTAGGGGACGCTTGATGTGGAAGAGATTTGGGTCCCCTTGCGTCAAGGAGCCTCCTGGAAGGAAAAGGTGCCGAGGACAGAGAAGGCCCAGAGGTGGCTGTCCAAGCAGTGGAGCAGGTAAAGACACCCACTCTGGAGGCCACCTGTGGTCACATCCCAGCTTGCCTTTAAGTGCTGTAATGCTGGGCAAAGAAATGGGA